TGCCTGGGTGACTCAGTCGGTTAAGAGCCCAACTTTAGTTCAGGTCATGATCTAGCAGTCCGTGAGTTCAAGCCCCGCATCAGGCTCTGTGCTGACAGCTCAGAGCTTAGAGCCTGCTTTGGATTCTGTGTCTCCCTCTCTCTCTACCCCTCCCCTGCTCATGCTCTGTCTCTATGTGTCTCTCAAAATTAAATAAACCTTGAAAAAAAATTTTTTTAATAAAAAAAAAGAAAAAAAAGCAGCTTCCCATAGTGATGTAGGTCACCGTACAGAGAAAAGTCACTGAGCAAAGCCCAATATGGCACCTGCCCACGTTCCAGTAAGGCCCCAGAATGACGAGATTCCACACTGGCCGAAGATCTGGAGCAGAGGGACAGCCCTGGGTCCACAGTAAGACAATGAGCAAATTCAAACAGCCCCAAGACTTCCCCTGGTCACTCTGCAGGCAGAACAGAGAGCCCCCACCTACTGCGGGTGCAGAAGGTCACAGAGGAGGGCTGGGACAGAGACTAGGAAGCTGGTCTAGACCAAGAGCTTTGAGAAGCAGAAAGCCCTGGTCAAAATAAGGATCTAGACTATGTACAGAGGTAGGTTGGGCCTCACACCCAAGTGAGGAGCATGAGAATCTCCTAGGGTGGGAGGACTTCTACCTCTGCTGGAACAGGTTCTATATCACATGTGCCTGTCCACATCTGGAAGACACTGATCGTGTCAAAGAGTGGGATTTTTCCTCTACTGTGTCCTAGCTGCTTCCCTGGAGTTCTGGAATCCACATCCATGGTCACTCTTATTCTGATAAGGTAGTATTTACATTAACTTGATAAATTACACAGCACTGCTTAACCACGCAGCCACAGACCAGGTACGCACAGGGAAGAGTGGGAAAGAAACAACCCCCCTGGGTGCTTCACATCGGGCAAACTCAGTTAGGGACCATTATTTATTTATTTATTTATTTTAGTGTTTTATTTATTTTTGAGAGAGAGAGCATATGCAAGTGAGGGAGAGGCAGCAGAGAGAGGGGGACAGAGGATCAGAAGCAGGCTCTGTGCTGACAGCAGCAAACCTGATGTGGGGCTCAAACTCGCTAACCATGACATTATGACCTGAGCCTAAGTCGGCACTCAACCGACTGAGCCACCCAGGGCCCCTTGGGACCGTCCCATTTTTATTTTTATTTTATTTTATTTTTTTTTAATTTTTTTTTTTTAACATTTATTTATTTTTGAGACAGAGAGAGACAGAGCATGAATGGGGGGAGGGCCAGAGAGAGAGGGAGACACAGAATCTGAAGCAGGCTCCAGGCTCTGCGCTGTCGGCACAGAGCCTGATGCGGGGCTCGAACTCACGGACCGTGAGATCGTGACCTGAGCGAAGTCGGACGCTCAACCGACTGAGCCACCCAGGCGCCCCTGGACCGTCCCATTTTTAAAGAGCACCGAGTAGGGGCGCCTGGGTGGCTCAGTCGGTTAAGCTCTGACTGCTGTCTCTCCCTCTCTCTGCTCCTTCCTGTTCACATTCCCTCTTTCTCCAAATAAATTAACTTAAAAAAATGTTTTGAAAAATTAGTAAAGAACACTGAGTACTCCCTTTCAAACAGATCCATGGAAAGTATTTCCATGGGTCATTTGAGTAAGATTACATACAAAGTATGTACTGACTCATACCTTTTCTGGAACACCTACTTAATTTGACCACAGGCCTTTCCACTTCTATGGAACATTTCTCTCTTGGGCGTGTGACAGCCCTTTCCTGGTTGTGTCCCTACATCCCTGTCTTTATTTCTCTGTCCTTTCTCCTCTCCTGCCTAAACAAAGGTATTCTTCAAGAGTGCTTCCTTGGGAACTTCCTGTCTTTTCATTCTTTCTCCTCGAGTGACTGTCAACTGTCTTTAATTGTCACCTCTGTGCTGCCTTTAATTGTCACCTCTGTGCTGATAGTAGTAACAGCTGACAATCACAGGTACTCACCAGGCACTGTGCTAATCTCGGTTCTAAACTCTGATGGGGTAGCCGCTATTAATATCTCATTTTTATGGGACTGAGGAAGGAAAACTGAGGCTTGGTGGTGGGGCAGGAGGAGGGAGGTTGAAGTAACCTGCCACCTAAAGTCGCACACGGCTGGTAAGGGGCGCAACGGGGATTCGAACCCGGCCAGTCCACCTCAGAGCCTCCACTGGTAACCAATGCCTTTCTGTACTTCATGCTGTTCTCTGTATTCTCTCACCTGGACAGCTCGCAAGGGGCCAGGGCCATCTCCTCCAGACCAGCTCCTCGAACCCAGAATGCCAACCAACGGTCTACTACCATTAGCACCCTGCAGGTGCCCATTGTCAGCCCGTTGACCACCAGACATCAGAGAACACTCACTGCCGTGTTTGCACTGGTTACTGAAACAAAATAGCTCCAAACACTGCTGCCTCACACATCTGTCCCCTTTCCAGGGCCCTCCCCCTCCCAACACCTCCCCATACCCACCAGTCCTGGCATGGTGCTGGGGGGGCGTGGGGGCAAGGGCTGGGTTGGCTGCTGGCCTTGGTCCTCACCATTGCTACCCCTGTGGTTAAATATTGTTAATATTGGCTCTGCCTCTTCCTCCTCCTCCTCCCTCTCTCCCCACAAACCAGTTCCTCCTCCTGACTTCCTTATCTCTGGGCCCGCATCTCATTCTCCAGTTCATATTACATGGAGCCTCCTCTGAGCCCTCCTACCCTTTCCCCTAATGCTCACCTTCAATGGTTGCCTTGCCCTGTGGCTTTGACATCTTCTTCCCCTGCTACTCCTCCCTCATCTCCTCCTTTCTCCTCTGTATGGTCTCCACCCTAGACCCCCTGGCCCAGTTTCCGTGGCCCCTGCTGGACTCTTCTTACCTCCGCCCCTTCCTCCTCCACAAACTTGAAGCCAAAGCCTGCTCTCTGTACCTTGATTCCTCATGGGAATATACCTTCCAACCAAGGTGGTGGCCTTACTCTGCAAATGCCACCTCAATTAGAAATCCTTATACAGGAAAAGTATTTCATAAATATTTATTAAATTCAGTCACTGATACCCACTTGTGCTTCCAAAGTTTTCTACTGTATCTGATCACAACCTTCTCGTCCTTGAAACATGAAAGTTATTCCCCTCTGTGCTAACCACAGCCTTGCCTCCTCTATGCCCTGAGTGGGTGGAGGCATCACACGAAGCCTCCAGCAGGTTCCTTTCTGCTCCTTTGCCCCCAGGCCTAGCCAACAATCCCGTCTGCCTGATTCCTGAGCATTCACAGGTAAGGCAGCATTCAATGCTGAAGGCTCAGCTGATGGTGACACCCAGTACCTACCCTCCAGGAGCTCATGATTGGAGCAGGGGGAGAAAGATATTCACACAGAGGGTCAAATGATGACCCACCATCTACTTTTGGGAGTACCAAAGGATCCATGCAGACAGCAGTGCTGGGACAATCTTGCTGGGCCCCAGCCTCACTGAGGCACTCACAGAGCATTTGGTCCGTGCAGAGACCTACTCCACTATTTAACAGCTCTAGCAGCTTGGGATTGTTGGTTAACAATCTGACACTCGGGTTTCTCATCTGTAAAATGAGATAGTAAGCAAGCTACCTCACAGGGTAGTTGTGAGGCTGAAGTGAGTAGTGTGTGTAAAGCATTTAGAACAGGTGTTCGGCAGTGCACAGTAATGTCAGCTATTATTGTTTCTATTATTTGACACAAAGCATACAGAAAATTAGAGGTGAAAGATACCTTTGCAAGCTATCTCTCAGGATCTCAGATACCTTCCGAAAGTATAAGGCCAGAGGAGGGGGGAAGGTATAAACAGAGGATTCTTTCCCCGCTGACCTTTACCCAACCCAGAGCTCATTTCTGCCCCTGGCCCTAACCACTCCGCCAAGTATTTATCGGTGGGGTGGTAGCGTGGAGCCCTGGGAGGACAGAGGCTGCGGCTGTCACCCAGTCCCAGGCCCCTTGGGCGATACAGATGCACTTACTCAGACATCAACTATTTGCTGAGCACCCACCCCGCATCAGCTGTGTAAGGGGCACGGGCCCTGAAAACTGCACAGTAGCTGTCCCAAGAGGCTCATGCGCTTGCAGTCTCCCCAGTTCAAAACCACAGGCTGACAAATGCTACGAAGGAACAGAATGGTGACATGTGAACTAGTGATAGGGCCTGTTGGGCACAATCAGGAAAGGCCTCCCTGAGGAGGTGACATTTGGGCTGAGATATGACAACTGGTGTCACACTGTGAGGTGGGGGCAGGCAGTCTCTCTGCCCTACTTTTTTTTTCCCCACAGTGACAATACCTGCTATGGGACCTGCAGGGGGGCAGTGTCCCAGGGGAACTTCAAAAACTTCAGGAAGGGGGGCG